AGTATGGCTTATGCACCAGGGTTATTGACGTACTAGAATGCCTAAATTCTAGCACCTTCAAATCTAGCTGAGAGAAAGCTGGTAGGCCTACATATGAAAGAATGGGTCTATGTGGCCAGTATGTGCAGTATAAAAAATCCTGCAGCACACAGTGTGTAATGAGAAAAAAAAAACTTTGGCTGTGTTTTTGGATTAAAACAGCAACTTTGCACTGTATTTTCATATGGTATTCATGGTTGTATTCTAGTTTTCCTGGTCTCATTTTATAGAATGGATGACATATTACAGAAATTGAGATGATTTTGATTGGTTTCACAATGAAAAGTACCTTGAAATTGAGCTCAAAGTAGCAGAAATCTTCGATTTTTACCAAAGTTCAAAAGTAAACAAATCATGCCAGGCATCCAATACATGTCAACTGGTGAGTCTAATATTCTTTCACAAGTGCGCTGATATTATTTATACCATTTCTACACTAATGCAGCAGCCTGCATAACAGTAAATCTTCTATTTTTTGTGAGAATAAAAATTCAAAGTGAAAAGCAAAAGAAATATAAGAGGGGTCTGGGGACATGACTAACAAACAGAGAACTTGTTATTTTAGTGCCAGGAATGTCTGTCTTGTTTATTCTGGACCCTATTTGGAAAATAGCATCTTCTGAAATTTGTGTGAAATTGACAAAATTGCCAAATTCTAACCACTTTATTGGATAGTTGAAATTGGTAAATGGGTGGTTTCTTGTACTCATTCGATAGAAAAAATGGAGTTCTAGCAAAATAAATATGATTTTTGTCAATTAGTACACAAAAATTGGCTGAAAATAGGGCTCAAAGTGGGCGAAATCACTGATGAGTAAACATCAACGAGACTGCTGACTTTGCGAGAGCATAATTCCATAAGTTTTCCATCAAATTTCATACCTTTGGTGTTATTATGATCAGGAAAAGATTCTCTATCATTTCATAAGAAATTTTTTTTTTTTTCCGAAAAATTTTTGACCCTGAGAATGAGTTTTTGAGAGGGCCTCTCGACCCTGAAAGGGTTAAGTGTAAGTTTATTGACAGTCAGCCAGGTTGCTATTTTTGGGAGTTCTTCATTAACAATAATAAGCCTAGATTTGGGTGGGAGATGACAAAAGTCATGTCGTCAACAAAGAGAATAGGCGTCAGTTGTTGTGATATGCCTGGAAAATTGCTGATGTATAAAAGGAAAAGGAAGGGGTCAAGAATGCTACCTTGTGGTACACCAGTGTCCAGGGGTCTTGTTGAGGAGGTTGTGTCATTGACAGAGACGTATTGTTTTCTATTAGTAAGGTAGCACATGATAAATGCAAGCGCATGGCCTCTTATACCATAATGATCAAGCTTGAGGAGTAGGATGCTGTGATCCTTTGCTAGTATGCCTTCCATTCTATCGACTAAGCACAATAATCATGCATTCATCCATTTCAGCTACCCTATAAAGTCATCAGAATTCAATAATTTGGCTAATTTTACACAAAATTAAAAAAAATACAGTTTAAAAATAGAGTCCAAAATGAACAATATAAACATTCCTGACACTAAAGCAACATTTCCTTTGTTCTTTACATCCTCAAGTCTCTTCTATATTGCACTTGCCTTCTGTTTTGAATTCATAATATTTCTCAGATGATAAATTATAACCAGGAATGATTGGTCATGGTATATGGTATCCCAATAAAAAACTTTTACAAACCCACAAAACAGACTGGGGAATGTAGGGAGGCCTTACCCATTCTTAGGAAAATTGGAAAAAATAAAATTTTTATACTATTTTGAGCTCAATTTCCACTCTTGAAACCAACCAAAATCATTTTTATTTCAGTAGTGTGTTTACCATTTTATCAAGTGATACCAAGAAACAGCCAATAAAACCATAGAAAAACTATTTGTCACTTTCATTAATAAAGCAGTTGGAATTAAACAGTTCTTATGAGCACACTGTGGCTAATCGGTACAGCTGTGCACTTTGCAAATACACAGTTGCAAACTCGGTCTCCAGTAAGGTGTACACAAATGTACAACTTATTTGAAATGTTCATCTGTAAGACACTACCAAATATTATCCCATTCTCAAATAATTGTGCTAGATCAAGTACACTTTACGGCGTTTTGCTTTATGGTATTCTGCTAATATGGTCATTTCAAATTATGACCAAAACTCTCTATACGGCTCCCCCCACCTGACTTTCTAATACGGTCACCGCACCCCACCTGGTTTGTTTACATGCTATGTGAGATCTGTAAGCACTAAGTCTCTCCATTATGTCTGGAAACTCCAAAATTTCAAGTGTTTTTAGAAGTTATTTCATATTTTATATATACGTACTCTGATAATTATACTTATGTATACCTGTACCTAAATAAACTTACACACTGTGGTGGCATGCAGGTACATATTAAAATCAGTAAGTGTCTTATGTCTCGAGACGCCATATTAGCAATGATAATAATCACTGAGTCTCATTAACCCTTTCATCGTCGAGAGGTCTTCTCCTAAACTTGTTCTTAGGGTCAAAAATTTTTCGGAAAAAAAAATTATTTTTTTCTTATGGAATGACAGATAATCTTTTCCCGATCATAATGACGCCAAAAGTATGAAATTTGATGGAAACTAATGGAATTATGCCCACGCAAAGTAAGCGGTCTCGACGATGTTTACGCATCGGCAATTTCACCCACTTTGAGCCCTATTTTTGGCCAATTCCAGTCTACTAGTCGACAAAAATCATAACTATTTCACTAGAACTCCATTTTTTCTATCGAATGAGTACAATTTCACAGAAATTTCAAAAGATGCCAATTTCGAAATATTGTCCAGAATAAACAAGACAGACATTCCAGGCACTAAAATAACATTTTCTCTGTTTATTAGTCACGTCTCCAGGCCCCTCTTACATTTCTTTTGGTTTCTACTTTGAATTTTTATTCTCACAAAAAATAGAATTTTACTGTTATGCAGACTACTGCATTAGTGTAGAAATGATATAAATAATATCAGCGCACTTGTGAAAGAATATTAGACTCACTAGTTGATGTGGATTGAATGCGTGGCATGATTTGTTTACTTTTGAACTTTGGCAAAAATCGAACATTTCTGCTACTTTGAGCTCAATTTCAAGGTACTTTTCATTGTGAAACCAATCAAAATCATCTCAATTTCTGTAATATGTCATCCATTCTATAAAATGAGACCAGGAAAACTAGAATACAACCATGAATACCATATGAAAATACAGTGCAATCTCGCTGTTTTAAATAAAAAACACGGTCAAAGTTTTTTTTTTTCTCATTATGCACTGTGTGTGTGGGATTTTTTATACTGTGCACACTGACCACATAGACCCATTCTTTCATATGTAGGCCTACCAGCTTTCTCTTGCTAGAGTTGAAGGCGCTAGAATTTACGTGTACTAGTATGTCAATAACCCTGGTACGTAAGCCGTACTAGTATGTCGGAAACCCTGAAAGAGTTAAATGTTGTATATTACATTAATATACATATTTTCATTAATCCATCTATGATATTTTTTCAAAATTATATAATAAACATGATACATAACATTATTATTATCACACTGGCCGATTCCCACCAAGGCAGGGTGGCCCGAAAAAGAAAAACTTTCACCATCATTCACTCCATCACTGTCTTGCCAGAAGGGTGCTTTACACTACAGTTTTTAAACTGCAACATTAACACCATTAACAACATTAACATTAACATATAAAGATGATAAATACACCCCACAGTAGAATAAATAAACATAAATATGAGATGTGGAAGCTAGACAACTTGTACAAGTGACGGCAAGAATAACATTTTCTCTAGTCCAACATATGAGAAAATGTGTTACTGGGGATAACTGTAGAAAATTATTCCTTTCATATGTAAGTAAATTTATTCAGCTATACACAAATACAGTTACATAGATTATCACACATAGCAGCATATGTGTAAAGTATCTAGGATAACCAAAAAAGTCAGAGTGACTTATTTCCATTGTCTTCACTCATGGTGTTACATGAGAATGGGAGTGTTCCTCTTTATTTATTCTACCATATCAATGTAGAGACAACGTGTACACAATGTATCTTGTACACAAACCAGATGTGTACACCTGGTTTGTTTACATAACTCTGCACCTGTCCTCCCTCATGTACTCATTCTCTCTCTCTCATTTATTTGTTTTATCTTGTTTACTCACCACTGACCCTATATTAAGACTACAAATATTTTAAGGTAAGTAATGAGTGAACTGCATTTGCATTTTGTCGCTCTGCGGTACTTAAATATCATAGAATATTGTGTAGGTGGGGTGGCTTGGTATGGTAGCCTGGCTGGCTACCATACATACCACACCTGATTTCTTACAATAAATACTATTCATCTCACCCTAGATTAAGACTACAAATATTTTAAGATAAGTAATGAGTGCCACTGTGTATTTTACTTTTTTTATTGTTTTTTTAATGCCAAGTTCTATTGCTAACTTAATATATGTTAGTGTAAACTTGTTATCTAATATCTGTATGCATTTATAAGTCGAAAAAAAGGGTGTTCCACTTTACGGCGATTTCCGCTTTACAGCAGTAGCCTGGAACCTAACCTGCCATATAAGTGGGACCCTACTGTATAGTAAACTTTATATTAAAAAATGAGTATGTCATAATATTCTGAGTGAAATACACTGCACTAACATTTATATAACTTGAACTTGTAAGCTTCATAAATTTTGACAGAACTCAAGAAGCTTATAAGGACACTGCAGTTAAAAAAACTACTGAATAACAAAACCCTTCATTACCTACCTAATGACTTAATTTATCAAATAAAAAAAATGTTTCACTGAACTTATATGATGGAAGAAAGGAAAAAAATGTTATTTAGCCAGCCTTGCATGGTGTTTGTGGAAGCAGTGGAAGCAGTGCCTACCAGCACTATGAACAGGTGGCAGTGGAGCAAAATTTTGTTTTCTTACCTGCTGTGTTCTTTTGAGCATGTCCATATCTTGCCTAAGAACATCAACTAGCTCCTTGGTCTCCATCTGGTACCTGTAAAACAGCTGCGGGGTAACCTTGACATCGTCCATCCAGGGTGGGTCATTCAAGACAGGAGGCTGACACTTGGACCGCGGTACGTTCCATTTTATTCCACACGATGAAATCTTAAAGTACAACCAGAAAGATCATAAATTTTCTATTGCCATAAAAATATATTTTGCAATTACTAGTGATGCTAATTAAACTTTCCTCTTTATGAGACTTCTTGAATCACTACAGCACTTACATTAAAATTAAAAAAAAAATATTCACTTAACACATGTTTAAAACTTTGAATTCACATTGTCAAATGTTACCTGAAAAAGAGACATCTTTCTGTAATATCCATGTGCCCTTGGAGATACACAGGGAGTGAAGTTATTAAAAGAAATTAATGAGTGGGCTTAGCAAAGCATAGCTAAGGTTAGATGATAAATACCATACAGTAGGACCCCAATATATGTGGGTCCGGGATCCTCAGTTTCAGTTATCCACGGTTTTCCATGGCCCAAAAATAACCCTTAATTTTGCTTAATAATGACGTCAAAGTGCAAAAGTAGTGATGATGGAAGTTCTTCAAAGCATAAGATAAGCTGTGAAGTGCTTCCCATCAGTGAAAAGTGATAATTCTCCACTTATAATAGGTATGTATAAGGATTGCTATTATCTGTATCCATGGCAGGTCCTTGGAACACATCCCTCGTGGATGCTGGGGTACTGCTGTATTGATAAACACACACTCAATGCTGTAAAGTCTTTATTGGTATACTGTTTCACCCACAAGTGGGCTTTATGAAGTCTACTTTTACAAATCCCTTTAAGCCCACTTAGGGGGGAAATTTAAGTAATAATAAAGATTTTCATTTGCATTAAGGGGTTTTCCTTTCCCCTTTTGGATGTTGATATGCTTTTATTTTGTAAAAAAAAGTTTTTTTACAAACCCAGTATTTTTGGGGTTGATTCATTTATTGTGGGGAAAAAATTAAGATTGGTATAAAAAAATTGGAGAATAAAGACTACAAAAATCCCATCAATAAAAGTTTAAGGTAATTACTTTAAAAATAAAGCTTTGTTTTTGAAAAGGGTGAGTTTTTAAAAGGGAAATTATCCCTAAACCCATACAGTTTAAAAAATTGTGAAGTGTAAAAGGCCTCCGGGACTGGAAAAGGGTTACTAAAGTATGTCAAGGTTTTAAAAAATTTTTCATTTGGTAGTGTGTAAAAAACAGGGAAAAATAATCTCAGGGGGGTTTTAAGGGTTTGTTAAAAAAAAGAAGAAAGAAGAAAGAAAAATAGGAGGTAGCAGAAAAAGGCCCAAAATCGGCTGCAAGGAAAATATAATAAGCTAATAAGAAAAGAGTGCTGTAAAATCCCACTTAATTAAAAACTATGAATAGAGCAAAAAAAAACCCAGTTCAGTTTTATTAAGTTGTGGTAATACCCGGGAACCCAACAAATACTTTAGTCTTTGGTATTCTCCTCCCATTTACCTGGATTTTAAACCTGGAGGGGGTTTCAGGGGGCAATCCCCCCGCGGCCTTGCCCGAGACCAGGCCTCGTGGTGGATCATGGTCTGTTTAAAACCAGGTTGTTACTGCTGGCTGCATGCAAGCTGGGGTACAAACCACACCCCATTTGGTTTAGGTTTACTGACTTTAGGTCCCTGTCCAGTGCCTTTTTAAAAACAGCCGGGGGTTTCTTTTGGTAATCCTCCTTATGTATGCTGGGAGGCAAAAAGAACAGTTTTTGGGCCCCCCAACCCCTTTTTGTGTTGTCTCTCAATGTACTCGTGGTTGCCCCTGCTTTTTATCGGGGGAATGTTGCATCTCCTGCTGAGTCTTTTTTCTTTTATATCGAAGGGGATTTTCGTGTGCAGGGTTTTGGGCCCCAAACCCCTCCAGGACCTTCCAAGTGTATATTTTCAGTATCTCTCCTGCCTGTGTTTGAGGGGGGAAAAAAGATCAAGGACCCTTTAATTTATTCCCAGTAAATTTTTAGGTGCCTTTTTCGCAATTATGTGTGTATGAAATTTTTTTGTACGCTCCCAGGTCTCAAAAAAATCCCAGCCTTGAAGGGGGCCATTTGTGTTTGGCCCCTATTCCCCGGGCCCAGAGAGCAAAACCCATTTTTAAAAGGGGAAACATCATGGGGCTTGGGTTTCCCCAGTTTTGAAGATTTCATTATTTCCTCCTAAACTTTTCCCAGCGGATGAGGGGAGATACATTGGTTTTTGGGTTTTTTAAAGTGAGATCCTCTGAGATTATCACTCCCGGTCCTTCACTTACTTTTCCGCTTTTATTGTATGGTTTAAATTTGTGGTATTTCCCCAAAAACATTTTTAATTTTTTTCAAGGGTTTTTCCCTATTGGTAGTTGGAAAATTTTCCTCGGTAACTTCATATTTTTTTGAGTGGGCCCCTTTTGAAGATTTTTGGGTTTATGTCCGCTTGGGTCTCGCAGTGTCTTCGATGGAGGGGGACTGCCATGGGTGATCCCGGGTTTTCATCCGCAAAAAGGGAAAACACGGAGCTATTTATTTTTTTTATTTATTTATTTATTTTTTGTCTTTGCAAACAGGGACTGGGTTACTCTCTATGGGCAGAAATGAGGATGAGGGGAAAAGAATGGGGAGCGAGTACTTTTTCCTTGTGGAACGCTTTTTCCGGTGCCCGGGACTTTTTACTCTGTTTACTATTAAACCTTTGTGTTCTATTTTTAGGAAGTTGTAGATCCATCCCCCAACTTTTTTGTTATTCTTTATCCCGCATTTTGTGTGTATTTACCCATAGTCCCCACTTGTTCAAAAGCTTTTGCCAAAAAACTATGTATACTACCCTTGTATTTTGGGTTTTTCCTCACAGCATCCCCGGACCTTGTCATGTGGGGCCAGTTTGCTGGGGGGCAGGCCCGGAGCGACCTGCTCTAAGCCGGGCTCAAGAAAAACGTAAAAGACACGATTTTCAAAAAAAACCATTTTTCCCCCGGGCCCGGGGTTGAACCCGCGGTATTTGAGTCTCAAAACTCCAGCCCGTCGCGTTGCCACTTTTGACCAGCTAAACTGGTTGTTTCCCCGGGTTGTGTAATGATTTGGGGATCTAGGTGGTTTTTTGGGTTTCTTGCTTCTTAGAAACCCCCTCAAAGATTTTTATTTATATGTGAGTTAGTGCATTTGGCTGTAGTTCCCTTTTCAATTGCTTTACTGCCACCTTTGTGGATGGGGTATGGGCTGTTGTTTTTAGTGTGTGTGGGATTGGGCCCCCCTTTTCCATTCTCCCCCTCCCTAAAATGATGAAGGCACTCGATAGGGGTTCTTGCCCGTTCTTGTGAGCAAGAGTTCCCCGGTCGGGGGTGGGGCGAGTACTGGGAAAGTCATTAATTACCTCTTCCCAAACTGGCTTTTCCCTCATCCTAAAAGTTTGTTTTTTCCTCCTTCCCCTTTTATAACGAAATCACAGCTTCCCTATCTTCATCAAATTTAACAATTCCTAAAAAATATTCCCCCATTTCCCCCAATACCTCTAACTCCCCAAATTTAAATAACCTCCTCCCCCTATTTTTAACTGACAAACCCCATTTTTCTCTAGGTTTTTTTTAAATTGTTAATCTCACTCCAAAACTTTTTCTTATTTTCAAAAAAATTTTTTGTTGAAACAGTTTCCCACCCACTTTTTTCATTTGCTCCCCTTTTTACTTGCTTCACCACTCTTTTAAAACCTCTCTTTTTTTTTCTCCAATACTCTTCCCCCCTTGCTTTCACTTTACTTTGTAAAAATTTCATATGCAATTTTTTTTCCCCCTTATACTCTCTTTACATCATCATTCCCCCCAATCGCTCCTCTTCCCTCCTGCCCCCCTTTTTTCCTGTAACCACAAACTTCTGCTGAACACTCAAACCATTTTACATTTTTAAACCTACCCCATTCCTCTTCGACCCCATTGCCTATGCTTCATTCCCCATCTATCCCCAATAGCTGTTTTATCTTCCCCTAACTCCCTCCTCTTTTAGTTTAAAAACCCCTTTCACCCTCTTTTTCCCTTAATGTTCTTTTTCTCCTTGTACCCCATCAAACCTTTTACTCTCGTGTAGCTACAACAGAAAGTGATCTGAATTCTGGGGGCCCCTGGGTAAAATGTACATTCCTGAAGTTTTACTAAAAACATTCTTTTATCTACTAATAATAATCCAAAACTACTGCCCTTTTTCCCCCTCCCATCATTCGGTATACTTATTTATCTTTTTTTCTTAAAATATGTATTACCTATAACAAACCCCCCCTTTTTATAAAAAGTTCAAACAAAGGGTTTTCCCATTACATTTAAAAACCTGGAAAACCCCAAACTTACCTACCACACCCTCTCTAAAAGTTTCTCCTACTTTAGCATTCAGGTCCCCTACCACAATTACTCTCTCACTTGTTCAAGGCTCCTATACATTCACTTAACATCTCCCAAAATCTCTCTCTCTCCTCTGCATTCCTCTCTTCTCCAGGTGCATACACGCTTATTATGACCCACTTCTCGCATCCAACCTTTACTTTAATCCACATAATTCTCGAATTTACACATTCATATTCTCTTTTCTCCTTCCATAACTGATCATTTAACATTACTGCTACCCTTCCTTTGCTCTAACTCTCTCAGATACTCCAGATTTAATCCCATTTATTTCCCCCCACTGAAACTCTCCTACCCCCTTCAGCTTTGTTTCGCTTAGAGCCAGGACATCCAACTTCTTTTCATTCATAACATCAGCAATCATCTGTTTCTTGTCATCCGCACTACATCCACGCACATTTAAACAACCCAGTTTTATAAAGTTTTTCTTCTTCTCTTTTTTAGTAAATGTATACAGGAGAAGGGGTTACTAGCCCATTGCTCCCGGCATTTTAGTCGCCTCATACGACACGCATGGCTTACGGAGGAAAGATTCTTTTCCACTTCCCCATGGACAATAGAAGAAATAAAAAGAACAAGAGCTATTTAGAATAAGGAGAAAAACCTAGATGTATGTATATATATATATGCATGTGCGTGTCTGTGAAGTGTGACCAAAGTGTAAGTAGGAGTAGCAAGATATCCCTGTTATCTAGCGTGTTTATGAGACAGAAAAAGAAAACCAGCAATCCT